TATGGCAGTGGTGGGGCAGTCAGAGGGTGAAGGGCCATTATTAGTGGGTGAGGGAATCTTTGCACCATAATTTCTGTATAGCATCCTGGCAGAACCCACTTTTCCAAGAAGCAGTCTCTACATGTCCTGAAAGTTGAACTCAAAATGATTTTAAAATCTCTGACAAGATGACGCAAAATGGTGTCATTTTAGTCTATAGCTAAGAGCAAACTGACTACTCCTCCGACAGGGAGTCTGACTCAACGGTCTCATGAGGTCAAGGTCGGTCCGAGAAACAACTGGCGACATATGTTGTCTCACTCTCGTATTTGGACAACTAACACCACAGTTGACAACTTACCAAAATCAACTGTCAGTGTGATTACATTGTGTTTTGGTGTTATGGAATATGTCAGTATCATGCCACCTTAGACTTGCATTAGATGTAAAGGCGTTTGAATGGCGGAGAGAGAAGGTGATTGCTTGGGGTCAGGCAATCTATCCGGAAGTCATTTCAATGATAGTTGTGATAAATTGCCAAATTTACAGTGATTTTTTGCGTCTGCGCATTGTTACTCGTTGATCAGTCGAATTGTCGTTTTCATTCAGGAGCAAGGAAACGATCACAATTCCTTCAGCATAAGCAATTACTCAAATCAAGTTATTGTCCAACTTAGACGAAGAAAGGAAGGATTCTCACTTCCATTCCACAGGGGGCAATACACACATCAACAATTTGACTTATTTGTAAAACAAGGGTCAATTCTTATTTCATTTCACCTGCAGATCTGCAAACGGTGTTTAGATGCGTCTCATTGGTAAGTGAGGAGATATTTTGCCTTTCGTAACCACAAGTGAGGCAGGAATCTCACGATCAGTATAAATGTATTGAAGCAAACAAATCAAGGTGATATAACCCTCACACATTACACATCACGACAAAGGAGTATGACCAAGCCAACGGTTGACATGGTTAAGTAGTCAGCTGTGGTGTTAAATGTCCAAATGACAGCATAAGACAACGTGTGTTGCTAACCACCACTCGAACCGACCACAATCACCTGGTGTCCTTGAGTCAACGTTCCGGTAGGACAGGTATTCAATTGTTTGGTCAACATGAGCCATCATTGACTCCATGTCAGGTCCTGATGATTAAAACAACCAACTCTTTCCCAGAAGTAGTCTCGTACAAAACACAATTTGGTGGTTTGATAGAAGAAATCGCACGTCAAATCCAATGGCGGGGATGAAACCTGATTAAATTTGTTTTAAAAGCTTGTCTGATATCCAACAGCCCACCAGTTTGTGCTTGTTTCGCCCTCGCCTTGCACATTGCAACAGCTCCCTTCCAAGAGATGGGAAGAGGCATGGATCTCTTTGTAGGCACTCACAGATATAGGAACTTGTTAGCAGCAGTGGTTTCACTTCGGTTTCACCAGTTTGGAGGTCACACAAAGGCTGCGTTTGAACAAATGCATTACACTTCGCTTTGAAATCCACCCAGTATTGTAGCAATGTCGACTGGGACATTCGGCCCTCTAACTTCACCGCCCATAATCAAAACAACGCCTACCACGTGATCCATCTTTGTCCTCGCCTACTAGCACAGCGCATTCTTGCAAAAATTGCACCAGTCCTCACTACACAGCAGATATGTCGCCATCTGCGGTCGTTACGGGCAGCAATAGCAACAAACGTACTTCAACAGTTGTACCATTGCAGAAGGTGTGTGACATTGGTGGGAGGAGGAACTGAAGGTACAATTCCTCGATGTGACTGAGTGGGAGAGATGTCGATTTGGGTTGTGTTGATTTGACAGTCCTATTGCCCACATTCACCGTGGGTGTTGCAGATGAAACTGCTGCAATGCTGGCATGTTGGCGCGTTCGTAGGAATCGAGGACGAAGAAGAACTTGAAGGGAAGATGGATCACGTAGTAACCACAGTTCTTGCTTATCTAAGCCATTTCATCCGCACATTCAGTAGCAAGGAAATTGGAAGAAGACAAAGAGGAGGAAGGTGTTGGCGCCATTATATTTCAAGTGAGTAAGGGGTTGGTTGTAACAGCTGAGATATTTGCCAGTCCCGATGCCGTGCTGGTGCTTGTGCAACAGTCTAGTTCTAGTGAGTTTGGCTACTAGGAGCCGACGCGCGTCTCCGTGCCCTCCGACGAGGTGGGCGAATACGATCGTTCATTGTGGCATTCGAGGCAGCGACAGCATCGGCAGCAGCAGCAGCAGCAGCAGCGGCAGTAGCAGTGGCGGTATTGACTGCCGCCACAGCGACAGATGCGGCAGTATCAGGATTGACGCTACTGAACTGCATATACCTTGAGAAGTGCTGTGCAATCTGCTCGCAATTGCCTCCCATTTGCGATCCTGTAGCAAGAGGATGCGGTAGGGAGGGAGGTAGTGAAGAAGGTGGATGAGACCGAGGCGCAGGTGAGGGAGATGGGAGAATCTTTATTATTCTTGTGGGTGGTGCAGCAACTGCAGGAATGTTGGCATTCCCCGTATGGGTGTTGATGGGCGGACACTGGTAGATCGTGGTGGGAGGTGCGCTGTAGTGGTCAGTTGTGCTTATTGATGCCAATTGCACAGATTGGCTACTAGGAACCGAAGTGGGTCTCCGTGCCCTCAGGCATAGTAGGCGACAAGGATGTTTCGTTGTGGTGTTTGAGGTGGTGGCAGCACCGGCAGTAGAGGTAGCGACGGATGCGTCAGTATCGGGATTGGCGTTACTAAAGCGCATGCACTTTGGAATGTGCTGTGCAATCTGCTCAGAATTGGCCCTTTTTCGACATGGAGTAGCAAGAGAATGCGGGAGAGAAGGAGGCGATGGAGGAAGTGTACCAGCTGCGGTAAGTGGAGCAGGTGAAGGCGAAGAGGCCGAGAGCACCCTTACTATTCTAATGCTTTGACCAGCAACAGCAGGAATGCTGACATTGCTCGTTGGGGGATTAGTGGAGGAAGGCTCGTGGTAAGTCGGAAGTGGGTTGTAGCAGCCAGTTGTGTCAGTTGGTACCGATTGCTGAGAGGTAACCGCAGAAGAGCAAGTAGGCTTTGGCGGTGTTGGGGAAATAACGCCCGCTTTCCGAAGTGCTTGCGCTATGATATCATTGTCATCGTCGTCAACCCCACTCGCCTTCTCCTCAGTCGATTCGTTGGGCGCCGTAGACAAAACTTGGCAAGTCGTTTCTTCCACTGGTGCCCAACGCGGGTCCTCCTTCACCGTTAGGCCCTGAAGAGCTCTTTCGAAATTCGCGGCCGCATCCGTCTCCTCCATGTGGTGCCAGTGTCGACTCAAATTGGACATTGCAAACGAGGGAGTAGAGGAATGAATCAGACGCAAATAGTAGAGAACAGGCGAACGAGCGAAATACAGCTGAATAAGTTGAGAAGTGACAGCCAGTCTGACAGGCAGACGTTGAGCTGACTTGTGCTGACACCCGATCAACTCGTCAAAGGCGATTGGTCAGCGTGGACTTGTGTTCAAGCGGCCGTTTCGAACAGTCACCTACGAGTGCTGGAACGCACCAATCACCCTCTACCCACGACCAACGCCTTTATTTCCCCCAGTTTTCGACCATGACATGATGCACAACCACAGACATCTGCCTTTGACTGAACGCAGTTCGACATTACATATCCACCTTTAATCCTTACATTAGGCCATCAAATCCATTGCTCTATTTTACCTGCAAACCCATTTGTCCGATTTAGGAGGAATTTGAGGTAAATAACAAATGATACCAAATGACAGAGTTGGACATGACACTCTAATCGAAGGAGTTGTTTCTCCGTTGAGGGAGGTGGTATTTGCTCCCCTTACACCTTCTCACTGACGTTGTCATTTCGAGGGAAACAAATAATTTTACACATTGGAAAAACCCCTTTTAGATTGCAGTTTTGAGAGTTGAGAGACGAAATGAAATGAGTATGTGCTTTCCTGTCCAAACATGCCTGCATTGGTGATGTGGGCGTATTGTTCAGCCCACTGGAAGCGATGAAGCCACTAATCATTGTCTAAGCGAGGCAGTAAAGAGCACTGGTTTGGGCAAACCACCAGCTGTCGACTATCTCGCATTAAAAACTTCTTTCACGCATCACTGCATTCAGATGACTTAGCATTCATTGTGGTTACTCCTTGAAATCACAAATGCTTGTGACCGTGTGTATTCCCCGTTTCCACAAAGAAATTGCCCATCTCACGCATTTTAGGAAGGGTTCAGTCCAGTCCTCCACGCTCTCTGTGATGGTTCGCAGAACTGACTGACTGCGCGTACATTGCAGTGGAAACCGTCACCACTTCATTTCCTTTCCACACATTTGTTTACCTGCTTGTGCATTTTTTAGGGCATTTCAGTTTTCTTCTATGGAATGATGCAAAACAAAACACAAGATTCGATAACCTGGTCAGTCCTCTCACCTGAAACAATTTGCCGTCTCATTTGTAGTTGCTAATCCCACTGAATTTGCACCGACATTTAAGTTGTGTCGCTGGCCTCCACTTTGGTTTGCACGCGCGCAATTTTCATTGGTGGAATCAAGCGCCGCCAGGAGACCAATGATTTGTGGTTCTCGATTTCTCTAATAAATTTCTTCAAAACATCTGGCACCACTTACATCCTGAACACTTACAAATTTGCCTGACTTTGCCTAGTTAAAGATAATTTTAACTTGATCGTCTTCATTGGTGAAGTGGAGTGTTCCCGTAGCACCTACCTCCCATATTCGCTCGTTCGGTAAAGCAGCAATTCATGCCCATATTCATTTGACTTCTTATCCTCTTTTGCCTACATTTAACCGACTATCCTAATGACATCTTTCTTCTCAAAATCCGCTTACCCTTCACTCATTCACCACCTCGCCTTGGCTTTATACCACTTGATGCTTAATCAAAGGGGTTACTGCACTCTAAGCATTTCTTGTTCAAATGAGCAAGCCAAGTTGTCACGATTTCTAAACACGACATGGGCGGTTAAAACTGCACAACTGTAAATCACGGACAAAATATGAACTAGTAGGGTGTTTGATGGTAGAGGACCTTTGTAGTGTCTTTTCTATGCAGACTTGTCGTAAGCATTTGAAGCAAATGCTAGGTGTCTCACTCTGAAACGTAATGATGTCTCCGGTCACACTCAAGCGTCACAGCAATATTTATTTGGAGAAAATGTAAAGTCTGAATGTTTATATTGTTCTCTCACCGAATTTCATCTCATTTCACACTCCACTGCCTCTAGTACGCCAAAATACACATAAAGCAGCTGCACTGTGTTTCCCTTTTTTATTCTACATGCCTATTGTGATTTTGCAGTACTCTCGGAAAACCGAAAGGTTATTGTTTTGAAAAGTGAAGCCTTAGAGAAGAAGTTACTTTCATTTAGCTAAGAGTAAAAATTTGAAGGTCAAGCACTGCATAGGTTGTGGTGGTGTGTCGAAATGAGGTGCAGCTAATCAGTTTTCTACTGGTTTAAACAGATTCCTTATAGGGATGCAAGAATAATGGAAAAGTGCTAAGAACCAAGGACTGACCATTCCAGGCATTCTCCCGATAGTCCAGCAGAAGCCACAACTGACGTGATTCTGCCTTGTTTACCTGAGCTAAATCCACCACCACTCTAATTTGATGGGACTGTTGAAGACGAAATTAAAGATACTACTTGCCAATACTGGCACAGTGAACATGAGGAGCATAAAATGAATAAATTGGCAAATATTAAGTCTCCACAAGAAGATGGAACACGAACATTAGTTTCTGTAACCTTTTCTGAAACACTCAAAACAGCACATAGAGTTAAAGCATCAGAAGGATAAAAGTGAGGCTTAGGGGAGAAAGCAAGACAATGAAAAGTATTTCTCTGCCCCACAACGCG